AGAAACCCTTAAGGACCAGACGACAACTCGATCCGTTCGCCCAATTTCAAGATCGATTTCTGATGTTACAAGCCTATTGTAGTGATATTTTGAATCAATAAGACAAAGACAAGAGAACTATCACACTATTTCATAGATGCAATAGACAATGAGAAAACACGTCGTTTCTGCTTGCTATGCCTGATAACATGCATTTATTTGTGAGCTTATCTTCTTGACAGTTAAAATGTACCTCATTTACAAAAACTAGTTTAGTTCGCTTTTTCTATATCAACCTAGAATGCTATTTGTGAATTGACCTCCAGCCACATGAAATTTTTGTGGGCTGATAATAGAAACGATTTGAAGTGCGATCTTATTGGCGCATAATTAGGAACTGAAATGAATAATCATCTCAGTTGTACAGAGTTCTATGATTATCCTTTAAATAATTCAGACCTATTGAAACAAATTCAGTCTTCAGAAAAATATGGCCATGTTCATAGGTGGCGGAACGTTTTGGATCTAGGTAGGCTCAACAATTTTTTACAAGATTTGCACCAGAAAATTAAAAATACGGAGTAAGCCAATTTTTTTGATGTCATCTTGATGAAACAAAGTTGGTATTTCTCATTTTGAACTCGTATTTTGTAATGTATGACGCTGATAGAGATAAAACATGTCGATAATTATGTTCATTGACTTTCAACTCTCGCAAGAATGGTTTTCCATCTGCTTTGCTGAAAAACAAAATAATATTCAAGCAGCAGTGTTCACAAAAACGACATTACATTATGAATGTTTTTACTGTGTTGAAAAGATTTTGTTCTGCGAGAATATTTTTCTATACTCGCCGTTTTCTCGCTCCATTTCTTATGGCAATGGAAACTCCATTAAGTATTGGTGTTCCCGCATTTTTTTCTCGTATTTGTATACGTATTCACATACATGTATGTAACAGCTTTTTATTTTTACGTAACTAACCTACTGTAGCTCCAATCATAATTATATTTTTAATTTGAAGTCGTGTCACGGTTATCTTAAAATCTAAAAATAAAACTGGAATATAAATTCCTAAAGCCTTACGATTAGAAGTGTAAATCGACGAGCTGAGTCGCAGCTGTCGGTGAGACAAAAAAATTAACAGTTTTGCAGATTTTTCGACGCCTGAGATCACTTGTCAACGATATTTCTGTCTAGGTTTTTTTATCAGTGTGTTCCCACTCGTCTTCACCGACAAACAAAAAAAAGTTGAGTATTATCAGTCGCTGCTGAAAGAAAAAAAAGTCATACCTACACACTGCCGATGTATGGATTGGTTTATGCTTCTGCTCATGAAAGTGGAAATAAATTTTTTTCCGGAAACGAGAGTGTAAGAACAAGAATAACCATTTTTTTCCGAGAAAGAGAATATACGGGCGTGAACAACAAACTTTTTCTGAGAATAGAAACAATAATCGAGAAAAGTTGCTCTCATAACACTAATGATCGGGTATGTAAACTTAGTCGCTAAAAATGATGAAAGTCTTTGACAGCTACTAGCTGATATGATTCAGGTTTTTTTATGCAGTACTTCGTTACTTTTAACGAAAGAACCCCACTTTAAATTATGGCTGACCCAAGAATTTGACATTTAGCCACACAAAACTAAAAGTTTTCTCAAAAGTAGTTTCTAGGTCTGTTTCAATAAATGTTACTATTTGTTGCCGATAGAGGCAAAAAATCTTGACGTCTGTACAAAATTTTTCATGTACTGTACAAACCTATCAATTTGACGTGGTAGAAAACAATTATTTGAGCGCACCATAGTCTATGGAATCTGAACCTAAGATGGGCTTTAGTCTATTGAAGCCGTGTGATTCCATCGTCTATGAATAGGCTCTATTTAAGCCTTCATTTATTCCATCCACAAGCCTACCTAAGCCTTTAGCTGTCCAATCTAGAGTAGGCTCGAGCATACTTAGGCCTTGTGACCCCTCCGCTTATGCCCATGCAATAAAAGTGATATGAACGGTATAGTCGATAAATTATTGCTCATGTATGCTCATTTTGTTTAGTTACATATTGATGTCTAATTAAACTTCATTTTCTATTTTGTCAGTATATTTTGATGAACCACTGTGAAATGAGTAGTAAAATAAATTCCACACAACTATCTTTTTTTTTCTAATATATATCACTCAGAGGAAATTTTGTCATCAGTAACTTAGTAGAAGAACATAAAAAGTGATTAGATGAACGAAAACTTCAGTTTTCTTTGAGAAAAGACCACTGATTCAGTTCCTGATTTCAATAAACATCTCCTGATTTTTCAGTAAAAATCTTCTGGTAAACTCCTGATTTTTGAAATTTGGATTTGGCAGTCCTGATTATAATTGATAAAAATTTTTTTTTCTGCTATAAGCAAGTGCTTGCTTGATTTTTTCATTTATTTTCGAAGTGATATTAGACAGTTGATGCTTCATTTATATTATAACTCGAATTAGGCAGCTCATGATGGCGATAGTTTTTCTGCATCCTAGAAAAGAAATTGAGGAAGTTAGTTTACTTTACTTTTCTTTGTCTTCATTTAGTTTTCCAGATTCTTGGGGATTACCTTAGGGGAGAAATAGAATTGGAAAAAAAAATTTACTTTTCTTGTCTTCAATTACTTATTCCGATAACTGTCGGCCATTTTCCGAGAAGAATCGGATAGGTTACTTTACTTTCATTTTCTCTTTCGTCATTTAGTTTTTCCGATTGTTGCTGCTCACGTTAGGAGAAACAGAATCAGAAAAATAACTTCACTTTTCTTGTAATTTAGTTATTCAGATAACTGTTCAGCATCTTATTGAAAAAGATCAAATAAGTTAGTTTACTTCAATTTTCCTTCGGTTATAACCATAGTCGTTCATGGTCGTATGAAAGAAATCAAATAACGGCCGTTTCGTTTGCTTCTTTATTCTGTATTTATTTCTGCTTATAGTTGCTAAGTATCTGATGAGGAAGATGGAATGAGTTCATTTACGTTTATTTTATTTCCGTTATTCACTTTCCAGATAGTTAATTAGTTTTTATGGACGAAAATATATAATAGAAGTCACTTTACTTTTATTTTTCTTGGTTTAGTTATCGTGATAGTTTTTCACCATCTTTGGAGAAGAATCGATTACCTTATTTTATAGTAATTTTCTTCGGCTTGATTGATTTCTACCAATAGTTGTAGAACGTTTTATGACCGAAACAAAAGAAGATAATTTACTTTTTTCTTTTCTTCTCGTTCATTCGTGTATTTTTATTTTTATTTTTATTTTTTGCAACATGCTATAAGACGAGCAGAATGAACAGATTCAGTTTCGTTGTGTTGCTGTGTTCGAGCAATGGTTGAGTGCTATGGAACTTTCAACTGTTTTGGTAATACAAGAATCCTTTCGATAAGTCTCTTGTAAACGAGAATACATCCTATTACACGATGGTGAACATTGCAGAATCAGTTCCGCTCCCGGAATCCGTTCCGCTCCCGGAATCCGTTCCATACAATTCTGGGAACTCGAACATTGTTCAACAAATGGGACTTATTCGACAAGGATCGCGTTCCTTGAATTCTCGGAATTCCGTGAATTGAGTCCATTCTAAACTAGTCGTGATTCCGTAGCGATCTAAGTTCTGGAATTCCGGAATTTCGAGAGCTGATTCCGGTCGGGAGCTAGTTCCTGGAATTCCAGAATTCCTCGAAATTCCCAGGAATTTCGGGAATTGATTTCGATCCGGAACCAGTTCCTGGAATTCCTAGGAATTCCGTCCAATTCTGCTTCAACCTAATTCCCGGAATTCCGTCACGGAATTATATCCTTCTCTCACCCTCATCTTGGACTGTATGGTTATAGATTAATCTCTCAAATAAGTCAGTAATTCCGGAACGGAATTCCGGGAACTAGAACGAAGCAGAATTGGATGGAATTCCTCGGAATCTCTGGATTCCAGGAACTGGCTTCCGACCTGAGTCAGGTCCCGAAATTCCGAAATTCGTAGGAATTCTCAGGAACTCTGGAATTTCGGAAACTGGTTGCCGAGAAGAATGAATTCCCGAAATTCTGGAATACCAGAACGTAGGTCGCTACGGAATCAGACGGAGTTCCTAGAAATCACGACTAGCTTAGAATGGACTCAATTCCCAGAATTTCGGAAATTGAGGGACCGTGATGTTTGTCGAATAAGTTTCATTTGTTGAATGATGTTCGAGTTCCCGGAATTGCATGCAACTGATTCCCCAATGTTCAACATCGCGGAATAGGATGACTGCTCTTGTAAACGTTGTGTGGTTCATAAAAGAAAGGCTTCTGTTTACAGCCTCAGAAGCTTTCTTTAGGTTAGTGATCGCCTTCAACGCTATTTGACATGGCTTTATATACCCTTTCATAAACTCTTGGTAAGAATTGTAATCTTCATGAAACTTCTCAAATATCCTTTTGATATTTGGTTTTAAGATAATTTGAAAGAGGTAAGGAAGTTCATGAAAGGGTTTACGAATATTTCATAACCAATGCAAATGGGTTTTTTATACGTTGCAGTTTCATAAACCTTTTAAGTGTTTATTATTCTACGGATTTTTTTTACTGTGTAGTAGGTGATTTGTCTCATATTTACCTTCGTATAATTGATTGATGACGAGAGAGCGAGTTGGTAGCATTTCCTGCCATTTATCTTGTCGTGTGCCATCTGTGGCCATCTGTGTCGCTTGCAATCGCCATTTTTGCTGGGATCATTTTTGTGAACATCGTAAAATCTATGGAAAATATGTGGATGATGCTTGTAATCATCAGCAACCTTTATCCAAATGTTTGGTCGAATTTGAACATATTGAAAACAAACTTCGTTCGAGTATCGATAATTGGGAACGACAAGCAATTGAAGATACTCATCAATCAGCTGACGATGCTAGAAGGACACTTGAAAATCATATAAAACATTATCGATCTCATTTTGAGGAAGAATCATCGACTATAATAGATAATAGATCAATAAATCAAGATGCTCAATTAATTCAATTAGAAAAATTACACAATGAATATGGTCATGCATTGGAAAATATACATCTTGTTCAACATTATGATCGAAAACGTACATTAGAAATTGAAACAACAAGTCCAATAAAAGAAAGCTTCGCGTCAAACTCATGGAATGACGTGTCAACCATTTGCAGTCCCGATATGCCCAAGACAAGATTAGGCAAACGCCTTATCGAGAAACCTCTAGCAGAAAGCTCTGTAGGCAACTATTGGGCAATAGGTGCTTCAGATGAATATTTACTGGCACAAGAGTATGAAAATAAACAATTAACATTGTTTGATAGACATGGTAGACGTGGTATTTCAATGACCTGGCACTATGATGTAGTGGTAAGTGTTCTATATAATATAATAACAAACATTTTCAAAGTAAATATATATTTTCTATTTCTTATGAAATTCAAAAACATAGATTGTCTTCTGTGATAAAGAAAAATAACCGTAGAGCATTTGTCATCACTGACTTCCTCAAAACATTAGACGTACGATAAAAAACTTAGTCTTTCGTGATCATGAAACTTTATCATCGTTATCTTTAATTGAAAGTAGCTGTATTTTTATATTATTGAACCTTTAACTAACAAAAACTCTAGGATAAAAGTTGGGTGTAAACATTTTTTACTAGCACTAAAAACTACATCAATTACTAATCTAATTGATATGGTTAGAATTTAATCTATGATCGATTCCAAGTCAAAGAAATATTGGTCATCACTTTATAGAGTAATAATAAGAAAAAGTACAGATCATAAAAATGGCAATTCTTTATCGGCCTATTTCTATTTCAAGTGAAAACAGAATGATTGACTAGTATTAAAATGCTTCAAAATCTATATGTTCAAGGCTTTAACATACAAAACAGGTTAATTCTTCTAATGGACTGAGTGAGTTACAACACAAAGAGTCAATAGATTAACTACGACGTGGTAGTGAGAAGACTTTGTCTATATAAGATGTAACATCAAATTCTAATATGAATATCGATTGACAAATATATTGATGTAGATCAACAAATATGAGACTAGATAAATTACTCTTGCTTTATTCCGATAAGTGTGTTGAAAAACTCATCGCTATTACGTATGATTAAAGATGCTGTTAATACTTTCAATTTTTACATAGATTCGTGACATTCAATGGAATCATGATCTACGAAAATTCTTCATTTTACTCGATAAAAAACTCATTCTTTTCAATCCAGTGACTCGACTATTTCAAGAAATCACTCAAATAACACCTTATCAATCGAATACTTTTCGTCGATGTACTTGTAGAAATGATCGTCTATTCATTTCCTATTGGTGTCAGGAAAGTGCCATAGAGTTAATTCAGATTAGTTCTTGGAGTTGTCAGCAACGATGGTGGAGTCCTGTAACATGTCGTGCAAATGAATTTATCACATGCATTCAACTCAATTCAAAAGATCAACTTGCTTTGAGTATTCAAGATGAAAATAATCCACTCAATCGACAATTTCGATTCGAACTTCGTGATCTCACTCTTAATATTCTACGTACTATTTCTCTCAATACGGAGGCAGGTATTTTCTCACGTATGACTCCATTACCTGATGGTTACTGGGCTTTATTGAATGTGGATAACAATTTAGTTTTTATTCTTGATGAACAAGGTGTATTAATTGATCAAATTGATTGTTTTCATGAGCCATTGCATAATATTGCTTTGATTGGTGAGCATACCATTGTGATTCGTGCTGTCAAGAAGCTTCTCTTCTATGACGTGGAATTTGATGAAGAAAGGCAACGGCAATAGACATGATATGCTGAGACTTGATATGATTTTCAATGATTATTCAGTGTGTTTTTATAATGCAATAACATTGGATTATTCAAAAAAACTTTTTTTTCGAACAGACAAAATAGCGTATATTATTTAGCTTTCAATGGATTCATTTGAATTTGTTCTCTCAATTATACTGAATTGCACATGGATGATTAGTCGAGCGGATTCGATGACAGTCTTGTTTTGCTAGGAACAAAAGTAAAAGGGTGCATGATTCTTTGATATTTCATGCACAGAACTTTTTTGTAATCAAATCCGATTGATTGTATTTTTTTTTCTCTTACATTTAGAAACACTATAATAAAATACTTGAAAGAAAGGCACTTATTGAGTCAATACTTTTTCACTTTTTTTTTTACAGTGAACAATCATGCAGACGACAGGCCTCCACATCTCTTTCAGCAATTATTGTCTGCTTGTTGCATTTTTCAATGATTGGTATTTGATGAAAATATAAAGAAGGTCAAGTAGAACGATCTTTTCATACTCATACGGACGATTGACAGTAGGAAAAGCTCGAGAGTCATATTTAACACCTTTTTGAGACTGATATAACCATGAGAGTAAACAGAAGATCCACACCCACACTCCACAATTGGATTGGTAGAGTGATAGATTTGTCACAACGATCGAACAGTACATATGAACAATTTAATAAAGCACGATTTCTACCATTGATTGGTATCAATATTGTTCGAGATCGTATTCAAGATATGTGGATTCAAGTAAATGATAAAAATGGTTCATGATTAAAAAGAAACGCTATTTAGTCAAAGAGCAGAATTCAATCTTCCTATTGATCGGAATGAAAAGGTCTATAATTTTGCTGACATAGATGATTAATTTAAATCAGTTGATATCCGTTGCGCGTATAGAATGTTACCCTATATCTGTCTCATTCCTTTGGTAACTATACGGTTGTCCGAAAAATCCGTGCAACTCCTATACTATTAACCAATAGGATAACAACTGATGCATTTATTGTTTTTATTGATCGTAGCTAGTGACCACACGTTGTCAAGGATCATGTAAACTATATATTCCATTAAAAAAGAAACTCTAAATCAATATAACTTAAGTATTCTTTACTAGTTGTTGTCACTTCATCGTCAGATCCAAATATTTCCCATAAAAAAATTTCTTCAAATTTACAAAACAAGTGGCATTCAGTCGGCCCAATATCTAGAGAATAGACAGGATGATTCAGTTTGAAGCTGAAGATATGAATGAAGATCTTTTCTTACCTATTCACTGGATATTGGGCCGGCTGAATGATACTTGTTTTGTAAATATGAAGAAATTTTTTCATGGGAAATATTTGGATCTGACGATGAAGTGACAACAACTGGTAAAGAATACTTAAGTTATATTGATTTAGAGTTTCTTTTTTAATGGAATATATAGTTTACATGATCCTTGACAACATGTGGTCACTAGCTACAATCAATAAAAACAATAAATGCATCAGTTGTTATCCTATTGGTTCATAGTATAGGAGTTGTACGAAATTTCCGGACAAGCGTATATTTCGAAAAAGACTATTTAGACATTTTTCTTCTATGAGAAAGCATTGACCATTCTCACTTCGATATGTTTTTTAGGCATTTCGTGGTACTGTTCCTAAAATTCAACAAGTTATTCAAGAACAAAAGCTTCGCTATGAAGTTCTAGGTCAGCTCATCAAACAGCTGAACAAATGAGTAAACAAAGATCAGAACGATGTCTTTACTTATTACCATTGTTTTATATTGGTGCACGACATTTTGAACGCATTCGACAAGTATTTTTCTATATGATTTTAACTTATCAACCCATGAATCAACAACAAGAGTAGGTTGAATCAGCTCAAGAACTTGTCTATAGTTTTTGAATTTCAAGTTTATGTTTGCAAATGAGAAGATACGCCCTCCGATGAGAGATACGACTTCTGTCATTTTCATAGATAAAACAAAAATAGAAGTACTGATGATTCATTGTGTAAGTCATGAGTAATGTTAGAAAAAAAAAGCAATGTCGTTAAAGGATATGAATGCAAGAGAACGAAAGAAAAACGAGCACATTGAGAAGAAGCAAACAAGACAGAATTACATGTTGTTGTGCAAGCGTTTTATATCATCATGTCATCGAATTTTTTTGATCATCTTCCGGTCGAATTCATTTATAAAATTTTCGATTATCTCTGGGCACATGAAATTTTTTATGCGTTTTTTAATGTCAATGAATATCTTCGTGCTGTCTCGAAGACTTATAATCGATTTTTAATCAACTTTCGATCGGTTCGCAAGACACAATTCGATCTTACTTGTCGTCTCATTCGACCTGATCAAGTCATTTCATTGTCACTCTCTGATAAAAACAATACTCTTGATCAATGTATTCTTTTCTTCTCCTATTTTTCTATCGAACAATTTGTCAATCTTCGATCATTCGAAATAGATTCGTTTAATGAAGATACGTTTGAACGATTGAGAAATCTTTTACAACTCAAATACTTATCATCATTACATTTGCCCAGTCGTCTATGGCATTCTGGAACTTTCAAAACATTCATTCGATCAATAGTACCACGACTTCGTCGATTAGTAACCGATGATTGTTTCTTCGAACATTCCTTGGATCATTTACAGCACTTAATATTAACACGATGTCATTGTACAGAAATCAAGCATTTGTTCAAGAATATACGTCATATTCGTTCTTTAAAAATTACTCTGGTCGACTATGGTAATCCTCGCTGGCCCACAAATGTAGAGATCTTATTAGAACTTCGTCAGTTTTCTCTTAGAGTTGACGACGGTGCGATGACAATTACTGATATAAAAAATATTTTACATGCTATGCCATGTGTGAAATATTTAGAACTTGACATTCCATGTGAAATCGGTTTAATTGATGGTTATCAATGGGAATCCATTGTTGTTAATCTCATTCGATTTGATTTTCGATTTCGTGTTGTACGTTGGTCGGCAAGTGATATTGCGAAAATCAACTATCTTAATTCATTTCGAACACCATTCTGGCTTGAACAGAAACGTTGGTTTGTTGCTCATGATGATTGCAAACCACTAACTATTTTCACTATTCCTCACTTCATGCCGAAAGACTTAGAATGGCCATCGAATAATATCATAGAAGCTTATACAATTGATATCTTCAAATCCAGTAATTACGTTGAACATTTAAATTTATTTCCTACTAAACAGAGCACACAAATTGAAAACAACTTTGATTTACAGACTTTGGTCGAAGATAAACCACGTCTATACTCACTGAATATTTGTAATTCGTTGCCATTCAATATTATACATGACAAAATTGTCTATGAACAAATACGAACTTTACGTTTTATTTTCGTGCAGAATCAATCATCATTATTTAATCCAGAACAGATATGCGCAACATTTCCTCGATTAGAATGCTTGAACATATCAGTTGAATCACCGCAAGCGTTATTTATCTTTATCGATCGACTGAAATATTTATCCGATGCGTATTTTCGTTTCAATTTTAATATTAGGAAATGGTGTTGTTGGCAACGACAGCGAGTGACACGTCAATGGCTCATTCGAAATAGTCGACGATTATCACATGACCGACACTTTACCAGTGCAATAACCGATCACAGTATACGATTGTGGATGAGTGATAAACAGGAATCATCATCATCATCAATATTTAAGAGAATCATAAAATGGAGCAACAAGTGTTAGATTTTATTCGACTCCAGTTGTTTATTGACATGTGAGTACCACGAACATTGAACTTGAATATTTTAAGCAACTAAATAGCATTCCAGATTCTTCTTTTTTTTTGTTCTCTATTCATTGTAACGATGAAATATCACACAAGAATGATCAGTATTTATGTAAAGACCGATATCACTTTCATGTTGATTCACTGATCAAAACATTTCATTCTAGTTATAACCATTCAATTGAGAGGTGAATTTGTGTGTACCATCATAAAAAAGAAAGTTGTGATATCTTTTATAGCATTGTTTATGATATTCTTGATAGGAAAGTGATATGTATAGTAGTGAAAGAAAATCGTTTTAGTTTGTTAGGATCTTTTTACGTAAACTGAATGTGTTATTGACAAATGTTCAATATATCGATTCTATGAATACAAGCGACGAGAATATGTTGAAGGAGAAGAAATGAAACAAAACAATATCAAATAAACAATCGACAACTCACCTACAATTAGAACGATTTCGTCAAACAAAGATCTAATAGAATTAATTTCTGTGAGCCTCTCGAAACAAAATACGAAGGATTATACATCGAACGAATGACTTTACTTTAACATGTCTTTTTATTCAAAATATAAATTATGTTTATCATATGCGTGATTAATGTGCATACATTACTTATTATATATAAAAGTAGTTGTAGCTACTCCAATTCCGCATAAAAAGTAAGGTCATTTGTAGGGTGTGGGTGTGGGCCAAGAGGATACCCCTACACACAATCACATCCACATCTCGAATCTCATGTACACGTAACATTAATAATTTACATAAAAAATTGGTATTTAAAAAACCAGTTGGCACTTTAATTTTGGACGAACAAACTTCAAAGTGAATGTTGCATTTCTTTGTTCATTTAGTCCAAATAATTATCAATAATATTGATACGTTGAACGAGAACAATGATTTATTCAATGAGTCTCTTTATTTTTTCGTTTTTTCATTTTCTGATGGTTCCTCATTATGAGTTTATCTTTTTTGTTGCTCTTATTTTTAATCCACAGCTCATATGAGGGTTTAAAGTTCAATAAGCGATTGATTCCTAAAAAGTAAGTGTTGGGAATAGAAGATTGATTTAATCTACAGAATGCAGAGAAGTTTATCATTGATGCCCACTCGTTATTTTCAATTGTATCAAATAATAATCAATAAGCATCGTGACTGAAAATTCATATGTAATAATTTTTGATCGCATATTTTAAGATGAGTGTCATTAATGTTCCAGCATTAATTTTTCTGAAAATATGATTCTATGCCATGACTTTAAGGCTGTTTGATGAATGTTGATTCTTCAAATGTTGTTACATCTTGTTATTTCTTGCAATTACACTGTTACAAAATGAATAGTATTGAGAAGAAAAATCTATTTATTTATTTAACCTTGTCGATCAACAGGATTGAATAATCGTACCATTCAAACTTTCTTCAGTTTCGATTTTATGTGTTGCTTTAAAAAGGCTCGTAACTGGAATCTGAACTGGATCAATCTGCATCTATTGCAGTTATAAATAGAACTTTGTAAATTTTCTTTTCTTAACTAAAACATTGATCAATTGATCAAAATGAAAGAAAAATAAAAGAACGAAGAAAAGAGGTATGAGAAACGGTAACCTGTTGACTACTGCGATTCGTTGTTCTTCGAGAAATGATTTTAACATCGATTCGTACAATCAGTGCACGTGCAAGAGAATTGCACAGCAAGCATATGTTATAAGAAATGTAACCGGTTTGTACCGATTAAAATCTCGCTTCTGTCTATAAATAGAAGCAGTAGAAAACGATCACCACTTCAAACAGTGTTCTCTTTCATTTTACTTATTCATCGATAATTGATGTGCTACGCATTTTATTAAAAAGAAGATTCTGTCTCTTATCAAGAACGATTCTTTGAAAGTAGCTTATTGCTTAGGATCATTGATTTGAAAAGAATAGTAATGATAGAAGCATCGGATAAGAATGATGCATTGGAAATAAATAAAATCTAAACATCATTATTCGTTATAATGATTGAATATTTAGATTACTACTAAACACATTGTAACTAATCCAATATCAACGATGGCTGCTAATGATGGCATGAACTATATATCACATTTGAATGTGATACGCTTAACAATGGACGATGAAAACTTGATGAACGATCAAGATCCAGCAAGGAACACAATGAGACTAATATCAATTGCTGATGAAGTATCAGAGAGAATTCAGGCTCCGCTTCCACCACGGTCTTCAGTTTCTAGAGTATCTCATCAAAATTGAGAACATAACTCGGCAACAGATGTCGATCCATTTCAACGACAATTATCTATACTTGATCCATTATCAGATCGTGTCAGTACAATACTTGTTTGGAAGAATTTAACTGTTCTAACACGTGAAGATAAAGTTACCGAATTCTGTCAACGAATGAAATGTTGGAAAAAATTTACACTTAAAAGACAGCGATTATTGAATAATATCAGTGGTGCAATTACAGGTGGACTATGGGCTGTAATGGGTACGTTCAATCTTTTCTTTTGTCATGATGTATTTAAAATACCATTGTACAAGGTCAAATAAGTCTCAATGGTGCACCATATGATAATGCAGAATTAAAACGGATAGCTGGTTATGTAATGCAGGATGATCTTTTGAATGGAAATTTAACTGTATATGAAACATTGATGTATACGGCTGAACTTCGTTTACCACGTCATTCTACACGTCAAAAACGTGTAGCACGTGTTCAAGAAGTCATGTTTTCTATGGGTATTAGCCATGTTAAGGATGTTATTGTTGGAACTGTGCTTAAAAAAGGAATTTCTGGAGGAGAAAGAAAACGTTTATGTGTTGGAATGCAATTATTAAATCGACCACAATTACTTTTTTTGGATGAACCAACATCTGGTCTTGATTCAGTTACAGCATTAGATTTAATACGAACCTTTCATTCATTAGCTCATGGTCAATTACCAGAAAAAGTTGTAACTATTGTTTGTTCAATTCATCAACCACAATCGAAAATATTTTATCTATTTGATTCATTAATTTTACTCAAACAAGGTAATATTATATATCAAGGTCCACGACAACAGGCAATGGTTAGTAAATTGAAACAAAAGAAAATTCTTTTCTAATAGGATGTTTATCGTATGGCTGGTTTCCCATGTCCATTATATACTAATCCAGCTGATCATCTACTCGATGTTATCACACCAATGAAGACAATTGATGATCAATCAGGTTCTTCTGAACGACAAGCAAATGCTGATAAATTAATATTAGCAATTCAAGCTCCTATTGAAATCGATCTGAATATGGGTACACACAAGCGTATTGCTCAAATGGCAGATCTACCAAAAAATCCATTATGGATTACACAATTCTTTATTCTTCTTCGACGTAATTTTCAAGAACAATTTCGTTCATCAAAAATTATTCTCACATCACTCATTCAAACAATTATTATTGCCGTTTTAATTGGTTGTGTTTTTCTACAAATTGGTAATGGACAATCAAGTACTGTACGTCGAAGTCCGGTAATTTTCTTTTGTGCTATTAATCAAGGTGTTTTCGGTGCTCTGATGGTTATCAATTCA